TTCCCCCTCAATCCTGAGCCCCGACCAAGCGCCCTGGGCTTGACGTACCGGCCAAACCTCACGAGCGCTTTAGGAAGTCCACCCTCTGTCATTGGCGAGACTCTGCTTGACCGTCACCGTCATGTACGCAATGTTGCTGAAGAGCGAGCTCAGAATGTAGAGAAGCCCGCCGACGAGGAACCCGACGCGGAGGTATTTCTTGACAAAGCGTGTCCACGCATCGCGCTTGGCCAATACCAACACGGCGCTCGAGTCACCGGACGCAGCCGACGCTTTGGCGACCACGGCTTTGGTTTCCAGATACGCAGGGGTCGACGAGTGCGGCAGCAACAACGCCTCGGGCGTGCGGCGATACCCGAGGTTGTCGTCGCTGAGCACGCGCCATAGCGTGAGCTCAAAGATGTAAAACCGCCCGGCCCACGCGAACGGGAGAAGGCCACACATGATGGCGCTAATGTAGTCGATCGTGTAGTAGCCCGACACGCTGCCGTGGTCCTGGAAAAAGGTCGTCGCGGCGCCATGCAAGAGCACAGTAGGAAACCCGTGTCCTTGCGGCGTCGTGGGCTCCTTGAGCAATTTGGCCAGACCAATGCCGAACAGCACCATGGCGCCGTGGATGCAGACAATAGTGATCACACGGCTAAAGTAGCCAATCTGGATCGAGCCGCTCGAGCAGAGCACGCCAATGTCCATGTGAAAGTAGTGACACTCGCGGCCAATTGAGGACCCAAGCGTCGGTGGACTCGCAAGGTCGAGCAACGCGACAAGCACAAAGGTGGCTGCGCTCGTCAAAATGGTCACGCGCCGCGTGTTTGGACCTGACAGATGCACGAGGACTTCGTTGAGCACGTACGACAGCCAGAGCGTCTCCCCGGCGAGCACCGTCGACTCGAGGAACGGTCGCGTCGCGTCGACAAAGCGCGTCGACAAATGGTTGGCTTGCGGCTCCAAGTAGATGGGGACGGTGGCGAGGCAGACAATGGCGGTGGCGGATCGGACCAACAGAATCGGGCGCCCGACCCAGACGGTGCTGGCAATGCGGTTGAACATGAACCAGTTGAGGCCCGCGTGGTGTCGCGTCAGCGTTAGAGCCAGCGAGACGCCAAAGAGGACCATGCAAAGGCCGGCGCTCACGTACCAGGCGAGACCCCACATGTAGTTGGCGAGGCTGCCGCTGACGTCGAGCGGATTTGCGAGCTGCGTCGCCGGTGTATACTTGTACGAGAGAAGACGCAGCGTCTGGACGTCGCCCTCAAATGCCACTGCTTCGCGCTGACCAAGTGCCCACTCAAAGAGACTCATCCACCCAAGCAGCGTCCACGCCGGGCTCGTCATATCCAGAAGCGGTTGAGTCATCACCGACGTGTTGGCCGTCAGTGATGTCCGCACAAACTGCATCGTGGAGAGGTTGAGGGCGGTGACGCTATCGGTGAGCGATGACGATGGCGACGCGAGTTGGAGCTGGCGAAACGCGCGGAGGGACGCAGCGAGGGACGTTGTGCAGAGGCTGGCGTCCGTAGCCGGAAGCGCCAAACTGCTGCACAGCGATCCCGTGGCCAACGCGAGGTCATTTGCTGAGAGCTGGGCCAACGCAAAAATCGAATTGGCCGATGCCCACTGCACGCTGAACGGCAGCTGACCCGCGCACGTGTCGTCAAAGCCAAACGAGCGCTGGATAAAGTCGTAGGGTTCGCCGTCCGCGCACACGGGGCTCCCGCCGTAAAACAAAAAAGTGGGGTTCTGCCACTGGGGTGGCGTCGGGCGCAGATCCACCGCACCAATGCTCGCGACGGCCGCCGCCAATGACGCACTAGTCGTTGTCTGAAGCGTCAGCAGCGCGATGAAAGCTTCGGCAGCGGCCGTGAGTGCGGGAGGAGGCGGCATGAGCTTGAGGTCGACCGAGCCGAGTTCACCGAGCTGGTGGTGCAGCGCCGTGTTGGCGTGGTTGAGCGGATACGGGAGGTTGTACATTTCAATCGCATTTGGGAGCGTGTAGCCAAACCAGAGCGGGCTGTTGAGCACCAAACTCTGGTTCGGACCAAAGTAAAAGTTGCCCATGTCATTCTCAAACGACGCGTACATCGAGTGGGTCGTCCACAGCGCGTACCGGTCCACGGGCGTGATGCTCTTGATCGTCACACGCGTCGTCATCCCCAGCGCATTCTCAATCCCAATCGATTCCGTCAAACCGGTTTGGCGGATCGTGCTCCACTGCAGCTCAAAGTATTCGAGTTGATGGGCCTTCCAAAACGCCACTTCGTCGTCGACGGGCACCCACGCATGCGACAGCATGTACTGCACCCAGGGGTAGCCGCCCGGCGATCGGACGAGCGCGCTCACAATCAAGTTGTTGAAGAAGCCTCGGTAGATTGGCACCCAAGAGCCAAAATCAATGTTGCGCCCGACAGCCTCGAGGTACACGGCGGCGTTCGCCTTGTCGTTGGCGACACATCGTGCTTGGCGCTTATGCGAATGACCGAGCTCCCAGCGCTGCTGCAAGTCGACCCAGCAGTACTGCGTCATCATGTGCGTCACCTCGGTCGCAAAGAGCTCGCGAAGACTCGCAATCGCCTTGTCCATGGCCGTGAGCTCGGCGTACAGCACCAAACGCGGGTACGCTTCGTAGATGTCGAGTGCCATGGCCGAGCTGTCATAGAGTGTCGGCGGAGCAAACGCCGGGTTGAGGAGCTCGAACGACGTCGCGTTGAGCGCGAGGCGGCTGTTGAAGAAGTCGATGATCGCGTTTTGCATGCCACTTACGACAAAGTCGGGCCAGAACAAGTCGTTGGCGAGGTACGTGGACATGACGTACATGATGCCGATGCTCAGACCGACTGTAAAGAGCACGTAGCTGAAGCCAAGGGCGTTGAGCCACTTTGGGTAGTGCTGGGCGTCGCTTGTGGGCCGATACGGCGTTGGACGAAGCCACGCTAAGAGAACCGACATGACGATAATTGCTCGTCGCTGCTCCCGCCTTTTGTGCCCTTTGCCGTCTGTAGGTTTCAGCCACAAGCGGTTTTTGTTGGCCGACGAGGCGCGCGACCAAAACTGCTGGCAACAACACTTCAAGTGCCAGCGCGACAAAGACATATTTTACTCACGTTAATCCGTCCCATAAACTAGCTAATATAGTGTAGTAGTACTAGCGTGAACGATATTATGGAGGGTTTAGGGTTACTATGGCATCGCTTGTATGTTGCATACAAACCTCAAGTTTGAACGACATTTCAAGGACGGTATCGTCGTAGTTGGTCCTTTCGTTTCTGTTGGGAAGCTCTCGGCTTCGTTTAAAATCGTTGGCAGTTTAGTGCATCAAGTGCTACGCGAAGGTACAGCGTTGCTACGAAGACGTTCAATTTCCCAAGAAATGTCATTTTCCTAAGGAAGAGCTCTCTTTACGTAGCATTTTGCATTTCGACGCGACGACGAACCTCCTCCATACGCTACTATTACCTTCTTTCTCTAGTATTTGGAGCCGACTTGCAACAAATAGTGTCAACACAGCATCTTTAACTTACAACGCGTGCTGGAATGCACGTGATCCGGGCGCGATTATCTACCATAATTGCATCTGGTCGGGTTGACGTACCGGTATCCTGCCGTACCGTACAGCGAGTATCATCACCCTATGCGCCGACCCCAGCTGCCGACCCTTGGTGTGCACGCTAACTCATTCCCCCTCAATCCTGAGCCCCGACCAAGCGCCCTGGGCTTGACGTACCGGCCAAACCTCACGAGCGCATTAGGAAGTCCACCCTCTTGACTATACAATTGCATGTTCATAACTCATTTCAACAACAGCGAGTATCATCAAGGACGGCAAGGGCGTTGACAGTACAGTACTACTACCTGAACGAGGGCGATACCACCCGCATCGCACCGTCTCTAACGGGTACGAGGCGTGTGCAAGGACATGCGCTGCACAGCATCCAACGGGTGGTCCCAGCGTGACTTTGCCAACACTCCTCACTTTGCACTTTCCGATGGCTTCAACACCCAAACCCCACCTCTTGGACGTATTTGTCTATGGTCCAAATGAGACGCCGCCGCTGCGTTTCCTCGCGGGCTTCCCGTACTTTGTGCTGACCATCGCCCACGTCCAGCTCGGGCATTTTGTGTGGCTGCATGGCATGGGCTTCACCGGCTGCGTGATTTACACGCTTCTCTCGTTTGGCACGATTGTGCTCGATGGCCTCGCGAACCCGAGCCTCGGGAAGAACCTCCAGACGCTCCGCTGCAACGGATTCTCGGATACGCTGACCGCGACGCGCATGGCGCTCAACTTGATCTCGAACGTCGTCATGACGTGGCTCGTCTTCCAAGAGCTTTGCGGACCCGAGGCAGTTGCGTCGACCTTGCAATTTGAGTCGTACTCGACATTTACGGTCGCCGCGATCGCGGCCAACATTGGTTTGACCGAAGTGCTCTTCTATTTTGCGCACAAATGCCTCCACGAGGTGCTGCCACGTATCCATTTGATGCACCACTGCTGCTTTGAACCGACGCACTCGACCAACTTTATCTTTGACCCGATCGACTTTGCGTTTGAGCTCGGGATGCCAACGGCGTTCTTGTTTGTCAACCATTTCGTCCTCTGGCAGCAAGACCACGTTGTGCTCCTCGTCTCGTATATGATTGTACAACAGTACTACGCGTTGGACCACAGCGATTTCCTGCAGCTGCACCATTTCAAGCACCACGCCCGCCTCGACGACATGTACACGGCGTACATCAAGTACCGCAACCCAAGCGACCTCAAGTTGGAAGCCGTGCGCACGATCATGCAGCGCCCGGCCAAACATGCCTAGTTGGCGTGGAGAGTATGTCTTTTGAATCGAGAAAAATGTTGTTTTGTGGTCATTTCGTGCGAATACAAGCGCCACGAAACAATGATTCCAACTTGACGGGCACATACCCAAGCCACCAACAACAGCAAGAACAATACCACCACAAGCGTCGACAAGGCAACGTGGGTCGTTCCACTGTGCAGGAGCCGCATGACGGTGCCCGAGCAGCTCGAACTTCGTCTTTGGCTTCTCTGGCCAGCTTTTCCCGCGCTTCGTGCGCCATCCGCCACTTAACCGAGTGGACACAATGAGACCTGTTGACAGTATTATTTCGTTGAGAAGGCTTTACTTTAGTAGACATCCTCCCTCAACGAGCAATGCAAATGCATTCCTTTGTCCTTCAACAACACCAATATAGCCCCCTCCACTGTACAGATTGCAGAACCAGACTCCGTCTGCTTGTCGACGTGAACATACATGGGCGCATGAGGACGCCTCACCAGAGCATCTAGGAGCTGTAGATTTGTGCTGGTAGGAATAGATACGAAGCGCACTCAGGACGCCGCCAAATTTCTTTGTCCGTTCGATGCGCAGGCAATGTTCTTGCCGGCGCATCGAATACCCAAGCAAATTTCGAGGTGTGTGAATTGACTGGTGCGAGGGCCTGCTCCAAGGTATATATCACTACATTGCTCCATGATGTGTAAACCGCTGGCTTCGATGCTATCACCACCACCGTGCGTTTTGCGTATATTTGGCGGCAAGAAAAGGGATTACGGATTTGTTGATGGCCTTTCTTCTTCAATCACCCGTCAACGCTCACTTTGCACTTTGCCGTATCGTCGCACGATGGTCCCCAACGGCAGCATTCGCCCGATCGACCCGCCGACGACCGAGAAGACGCCCACGTTGTCTCTTGACGCTGGCATCTTGGAGTGTGTCGTGTACGCGCCCGATGCGACGCCGCCCTTGGCTTTTCTCGCGGGGTTTCCGTACTTTGTGCTAACTGTGGCGACGATCCAGATCGGACATTTTGTGCTGCTCAACAACGGGATGGGCTTTACGGGGTGTCTCCTCTACGCACTCATGTCCATGCTGCTCGCGGCGCTTGACGGGCTCGTGAACCCGAGTCTTGGCAAGAACGTTCGGACGCTGCGCGCCAACGGCTTCTCCGATCGCTACACGCTGCAGATGATGACGCTCAACTTGCTCTCGAACATTCTCATGACATGGCTCGTCTTCCAAGAACTATGCGGCCCGGACGCTGTCAACGCGACCTTGCAATTTGCGTCGTACTCGACGTTGACGGTCGCGGCGATTACGGCCAACTTGGCAATGACCGAAGTTGTCTTCTACTTCGCACACAAGTGCCTCCACGAGGTGATCCCGCACGTGCATTTGATGCACCACTGCGTCTTTGCACCGACGCACTCGTCCAACTTTATCTTCGACCCGCGCGACTTTGCGTTCGAGCTCGGGCTCCCGACGGCGTTCTTGCTTCTCAACCATTTCGTGCTCTGGCGCCAAGACCACGTTGTGCTCCTCGTCTCGTACATGTTTGTACAGAACTTTTACGCGCTCGACCACAGCGATTTCCTCCAGCTCTACCACTTCAAGCACCACACCCGCCTCGACGACGTCTACACGGTCTACGTCAAGTACCGCAACAACTCCAATCGCGAGGCCGTCCACAAGATCATCAAGCGGGCGACCAAGGTCGCGTAGGCGGTACGAAGCCGATACTATAATATGGCACGCCGAGAGGACGTTATAAGTATGTAATATTCACCACGCTGTATCGCGATCTAGTCACTTCTACCTTATGACGTCTACCTTGTGGCTGGTGTTCCAACGACCAACCCTACCCCCACCACAAAAATGGACAAACCATGTCCATGCGCGGCCGTGAGAGGTTGCTGCATGCCGGCCAGCAAAGGACACTGTCAACAAGCCGAGTCGAATATAAACAACGACCCAGTAGTAGCCAGTTCTTAGTGGCGTGCGGAGGCCATCCCACGGTCCATTCCCTGTCACTGTCACAGCGATATCTGATCGGCGCAAGCTGGAATTCGAACTCGCGCTGCAAAGCCATCCGACCACGATCCAGCTCTCAATGTCCCACGTCGAACGCTGGCGTCACTCGAATGCATCGTCTACGTGCCGTCGTCACGACGACACACCTCTCTCTTCCATAGTACTATTACACTAAACTGTCGATGCACATTGGGTGCACGAGCTTGAGCTTGGTGTGTGGTGACCTTTACAGCAGGATTATTTCGTTTACGAGCGACCCGTCCTCGAGACTACACACACAGAAATACGCGTCAACACACCATTGTTTGTCGATATAAATTGATACAAGCAAATAGTAAATACACGTTACATCTCGTAGATGGCGTCGACGACGGCCGCGTGCTTTTGCAGCACCCGCGACCGCTTGAGCTTGAGCGTCGGCGTGAGCTCGTCGCCAGCGACGCTAAAGTCGTTGTCGAGGATCGCATACTTGGCAATGTAGTGGCCAAACGAAAAGAGCTGGCTCGTGGTCTTGTTGACGTCGGCAAGCCGGTCGTCCAAGTACGCTTGCACGTTTGGGCACCGCTTGGCATCATGGACGCTGCGTGCGCGGGAGCCAAGGACGCTGCACATTTCCCGCACGTCGTCTTCGAGCGTCGGCGTCGGGCGGCCCTCTTCGTCCAAGAGCACCTACACAAGGGTTAGGGTCCAGCGTAGGCCACCATTTTGTTGTACTTTGAGTGTAAAGAGCGCTAGCAAAAATTCGCGCTGCTCGCCAATGACCATGACGTTGGAGAGCAGGGGGATCTCGGCCTTGAGAATGTTCTCAAGCGCGACCGGCGATATCCGCTCGCCACCGGCGGTCCGAATCGTCTCGGGAATCGACCCCGTGATCGTAGCAAAGCCGTCTTCGTCGATGACGGCCGTGTCGCCCGAGTAGAGCCAGCCCTCCTCGTCAATCGCGTCCTTGGTCTCTTGGTCGCGCTTGAGGTAGCCCATCATGACGTGCCGGCCGCGGAAGAGCAGCTCGTGTGTCTCCTTCTTGACGCGCATCTCGGTGCCGAGGAGAGGGCGACCGACCGAGCCTAATGTAGATACGTTTATGATAAAAATGGTCGAGAGACGTCGTACCCATCTTCCAGCAGTGCAGCACGTTCATGGTGGCCAAGCCGCCCGTCTCGGTTTGCCCGAAGAACTCCATGATGGGGATGTCAAGCCCACCGTAAAACTCGAGCGTCTCGGACCGGAGTGGCGCCGACGTGACGGAGAACGTCTTGCAGCTACATCCGGTGCTCAATAACTTGCGCAGGATACTATGCAGTCGTACCGGTCGAGGCCCAACGAGGCCTTGACGCGCGACAGCACGAGCTTCTCTGCAATCCCGACACCGCAGGGCGGGCCGCCGTGTTGGCCGTACTGCGAGATACGGGTCTTCTTGATCGCCCGCGACGTAGCAAAATGCACGAGCTGCTTCTTGAGGCCACGCGATTTGCCGTGCAAGTCGCGCATCTTGATGGCCATCTTGTCCCAGACGTACGGGACACCGCAGAAGCGCGTCGGGCGAATCTCCTTGATGGTCTTGCCGAGGCCGCCCCGCAGCGCATCCTTGGGTGCAAAGTGAACCTCGTAGCCAATGACGAGCGGCAAGATGATGTCGTTGAGCTGCGGTGTAATGTGCGCCAATGGCAAGTACGACACGAGCACGTCGCGGTTGCTCAGACGCGTGTGGTAGTCGCGGTCGATGCTACGTAACCGTCGCGGTTAGGGTCGTGCAGAAAACCGCCAGTCTAAGAGACGTGTCTACCTCTTGTCCATGCACCACGCATTGAAACAGAAGTTGTCGTGCGAGATCATGACACCCTTTGGGAGACCGGATGTGCCGCTCGTGTAGACCAACGCGGCGCAGTGGCCCGGCTCGACGCTCTCCATGCGGCGCTTGAGCGTACCGCGCGTAATGTCGTCGCCCAGGATCGCGAATGCGTCCCAGCCGTACACAGGAATCGGCGACCGGAGATTCGTGGGCACACGCTTGCCCCAGAGCACGAGCGCCATGAGCCGCGGCAAATACGGCTTCATCGCGATGAGCTTTTCGAGTTGCGCGACGCTGTCGCAAACCACGATGCGCGCTTCCGAGTGGCCGCAGATGTACTGGCAGAGGTCGTTGGTCGTGCCGAGGTAGATCCCTACGCATCTCGATACGTTGGTGCCAACTCGGCACGGGATCGAGGCATACCGGCGGCCGCAGCGCCCGCCATGATGGTGCCCATGTACGCAATAAGCCACTCGGACGAGTTGGCCCCGCAAATACCGACAACTTCGTGCGGCTGGAGCCCGATGCGGATAAGACTCTTGGTAAACTCTTGGGCCTGCGTGTAGTATTGACGCCATGTCAGCGAGTACCTAGTGCATTTGGTTTCCATCGCTGCAGCACAGTGGAAGATGTGAACGCACCACGTGTCCTTGCGCTTCTCGTGCAGCGCTTTTTGGTACCCGTACCGCTTGACGGTTCGCTGGAAGAGCGAAATGAGCGTGCTCGACGGCGGCATCTTGTCGTGCGGGAGGCGGCTCGTGTTGGGACGGATCGCAACCGTTTGGTTGAGCCGCGTCGTCTAGCCTTTCGGTTAGGATGCCGCGAAGGCGCGCCATTGCACGTACCACATAAGCCGAGGAAGACACCATCGCGTTCGTGTCACTCGTCGCCGGATGATCCCGTTATGACGCTCAGACCAGGACGCGGCTGGCGCGATGTAACACATGGTCCTTCCGGGGGGCCCCAGTTACACCACCGCAACTCAGTTTGCACTTGGGCCATGCGTTTCAAACCCACAGCGTCCTCAACAGTTTCTCAACAGCCGATTCAAGTCCGTCTCGTCGCTGCTTGGGCACAGGATGGCAGCGCGAAGGGGCCGTAAAGCCCGAGTACAGGTCGAGGTAGGCAGCTGCGAGGTCGTCGCCGTGGACCACTACGGACACGAGGAACCCATCATTCGAGAAATGGCGCCCACGAGTACCCAAGTCCCCGAATACACTGCACGTGATGTCTTTTCTCCCAAACGCCAGCAGCGGTCGACGGTGCGATCAGACCATTCGAATCTGCTCTTGCTACTTTAGGCAGTGAGTCACGACGACACGTGCGGACGATGATATTCGATGACCGGACTACGTGATAGTCGATGTTCAACTGGCGTACGACGCTGTCGCTGCAAGCACCCAAGCGCTTCCATCGCCATCCAGCCGACGAACGCACTGATGAGCTTGCGCATGCGACCAAGCTACTGGACCACGTTTCTTGCGTCGGAATCCTCCTTCTCGCCAACGAGTAGCAACCAAAGTCGTCCTGCCACGCCCGACGATATGAGACAAAAATGATATATGACCCAATGATAGAGACAGTATGGATAAAGATTGGTGGTAGGGCCAAAACGATTGGGGAAGGGGGACCCGTTGACGCACGCGGCGCACGTCCAGCAGAAGGCATCGGGCGGCGCGGTGACGCTGCGTCGAGACCCACCACCGTGTCAAGAAATGCAGAGCACTTGCCCTCGTTCTTTCGTCGCATGTCGCAGGCAGTCGCACGACGATCGCTCGTAACGATGGGTGCGCCCTGTTGCTCACGCTAGTCCTGCGGAGCAGTCCTACGGTACTCTCAAAGGAGCGGTTGACGCGCCGAGCTGCGAGTCAGTGTCGTGGTGTCCCAAGCGCGGTGCAGAAGCGACGGATACGCGCTCGTTTATAGCGCCGAACGTTTCTGTGTTGATCGCAGCGCATCGCAGTCTCGTCAAGCCACTCTTTTTTAGACGCATTTACTATTTAACAGCACCGATAGATAGATAGTCGGTCCACGCGCACATGGACGCGGTCGGTTGCGAAATACGTGTGTCGCTCGGCAACTGCAACGACTCGACAACCTCCAAACCCGCAAACATGAAATGGGACCACGCCCACCATGCCGCCGTGTCTTTGGGCCGACGCCATTGTCCTAGCTCAGTGCATGATTACAGCTGGCATTGACCGTTTGCCATTGCGGGTGTTGTCGGCTGCTTGGCTCTTGCTGCACAGGTTGCAAACCTGCACTTGATACACAGCGGGGGATGGGCTATACCTGGCTATACCCGAACCCTACAATGCGGCACCTCGCGCTAAAATCTCCAAACCCGGCCGTCAAAGCCCGAACATGCGTCGTCTACCCGTCGCAACACCGCGCTTTGCACCATCTCCTGTCGTTCGGCCATCGCGTACGAGCATGGTGCACCTATGCCTCGGCTTGGCAGCGACCGCACCACCTGACCCCACACTGTGCTGCGTTGCAGTTCGAAAGACGCTACACGTTCGCTCCGTTGGCACTTGGCTCGCAGTCACCACGTCGCTCTATGCCCTCTGTGGTGATCCTTCTTGGGACTGGTACAACCTCCGGATCCCTGCCCCTACCCGGTAGCTCTACCGAAGGACGACTTCTGCAAGCCGCAACGGCCTACTTGCTGCACCACATTCTGCACGTTTGGCAACACGAGCTCTGTCAATACTTTCATATTCAATATACCCCTAGTCAGTACTAGACGACTCTAGTCCGTGGCATCTTCTTCCATGTGCATTGAATGCCCGTGGACAAAATCCATTGACAGCAACCCTACACCGTATTCCGTGTTTCCTTGCCGACATTTGGACTTCCGACACGCAAGTCGCGTCAATTCGTCGTTGTACGCATCCGCCGCACGACATATAGTATATCCTCCACAACACTGCTTCTCTCCCCTCTCTCCAGTGCTCTTGCATTCTCCTTCATGGCCGTCGTACTGTCGTATTTCGCTGCCTCCGTCGCCATCACGTTATACCCGACACTTTGCATCTCCGTACCGTTGGTTTCCCAACCGACTCTTTCCGTCAATATTGTCGGGTAGGAAAGCCCGTGCCCGGTAAAGCCGGTATTAAAATAGCTTGCTATTTGTATGCAATTCAGCAAGAAATGGACTCCGTAATTGCACCAGTCATTACAAGAGCCAATGTCCCTCGCCCGAGTCTACGCCGACGCCTGCGAGTCGCGGCCGCGCGAGTACTGGGACTACGACAACCTCTCGGTGGCCTGGGGCGACCAGGACGCGTACGAGGTCTCGCGCAAGATCGGCCGCGGCAAGTACTCGGAGGTGTTCCAGGGCGTGGCCGTCGCCAACGACAAGCCGTGCGTCATCAAGATCCTCAAGCCCGTCAAGAAGAAGAAGATCAAGCGCGAGATCAAGATTCTGCAAAACCTCACCGGCGGGACCAACATTGTCCAGCTCCTCGACGTCGTCCGCGACCCGCAGTCCAAGACGCCGTCGCTCATCACCGAGCACATCAACAACCACGACTTCAAGACGCTGTACCCGACGTTGACGGACTTTGACATTCGCTACTATATCTTTGAGCTGCTCAAGGCGCTCGACTTTTGCCATGCGAATGGCATCATGCACCGCGACGTCAAGCCCCACAATGTAATGATTGACCACGAGAAGCGCCAGCTCCGCTTGATCGACTTTGGCCTTGCCGAGTTTTACCACCCGCACCGCGAGTACAACGTCCGCGTCGCGTCGCGCTACTACAAGGGCCCGGAGCTCCTTGTCGACATGCAAGAGTACGACTACTCGCTCGACATGTGGAGCGTCGGCTGCGTCCTCGCCGGCATGATCTTCAAGAAGGACCCGTTCTTCCACGGCAACGACAACTACGACCAGCTCGTCAAGATCGCCAAGGTCCGCGGTACGGAAGACCTCTTCGAGTACCTCTCGACATACGACCTCGAGCTCGACCCGCAGTACGATGGCATCCTTGGCACGCACTCGAAGAAGCCGTGGGAGAAGTTTATCACGGCCGACAACAAGCACCTCGTGACGCCGGAAGCACTCGACTTCCTCGAGAGCCTCCTCCAGTACGACCACCAGAAGCGCCCGACCGCCAAGGAGGCGATGGCCCACCCGTTCTTCCAGATCATTCGCGACCACCACGACGCGCAGCAAAAGGCCTAAGCCACAACGGCCACTGGCAAGATTCACTTAGATATACACAAACAAGCTGTAGCATTGTTCCCCATAGCGTTGCCTCGCTACGGCAGCTAGTGCCACGGCAGCTACGGATATCTCGTGGGCAGTCACTTGCTAGTGCAAGCAAACCGCGCCCCTCTCAAGCTCGTGAAAGTCCATGTTGGACAACACGTCCAAGGCCACTGACCCGACCTTACGAACGTCGGCGTACACATCGGATATGGTACCTCGATGGGCTACGGGTCGCCACTCGTTTATCGAACGCCCGTTGCTCGACGGGCGATTGGCAAACAGTGCTGTAGAGATCACTGTGGCGCAGAGAACGCAGCCTCCATCAAGCGCGGAAGATGGGCGTCGAATTGGAGTAATCACAGTCCAGATGCGCCTTGCTTGGATCGGTCCAGGATCGTCGAACGTTCAAAAGAGAGGGATTGGCGCTAGCTACAGACCCGCGAGCACCATGACGGGGCTGCGCACGGCTGCTGTGTAGGCCGTTGAGACGACGTCGACGGAGAGTCGCATCGAGGGCCTCGGCTACATGGCGTCCATGCGCCCCTTGCGCAAGGACACTCGTTGGTCCAAGCTTTGGCTTCCACGCGAAATTTCAACCCGCCTGTCCGCTTCAAGTTTGGATCTTTGTAAATGCACGTTTCCCACGTTTTGTACACCAATTTCACGATTCACGCAATAGAAGAAACCCGTACATTTTGTTTCACACGGCATTTCACACGGTGTGTTGCCGGGCAACCGTTCACCAAAGGGCAAACTCGCGCATCGGATGGGGTAGAAAGGCCGCCTCAGCGTCAAAGTAGCTTGGACTTTGTATGGGACTCAGATCTGAGAACCACGGACCTTCCTGGGTTCAACCAGCTGGCCACCGAAACGACGACGGCGCCGGCTGCCGTCCATGGAGCTGCTCACTTTGGCTTTTGCTCCTCACAAGCACGACACATAGGATGCTGCCGTACGGCTCGGGCACCCAAGGTACGCCACCTCTTCTTGCCCGATCGGTCCGCTCACGTAGCTCGTAGAACTCAAGCACATTCGCATTGCGCGGTCGTCGAGCGCGTCCGACGTCTCGTGGAAGCACGTGGCAGTTGGCGCGACCGTGGCCGTCGCCACGCTTGGGTACGCTGCCACGATGCATTCGATGGTGAGCAACCAAGCGGCGGCGCTGGACGCGCTCCACGCGCAGATGCTGGCCATGAGCAGCGTCAAGTCGCCCAAGCACGCTGCGCCGGTGCCAGCGATTGAGACGCTGCCGCACAAGTACGCAGTGGAGAACGTGACGCCGCGCAAGACGCAGGACCTCCGTGGCACGTGCTGGGACTTTGCGACCATCTCCGTGCTCGAGTACTCGTACCGTCAGCAAGGCATTGCGCGCGGGTGGCTCGCGCCCGACGAGTACGTCTCGCTCTCCGAGCAAGCGTACGGCGCCGACCTGCTCCAGCTGTGCACGACCAAGGACAAGTCCAAGTGCTACTTGACAGCAACGCAAAACACCACCGAAGGCGGCTTCATCGAGGAGTTTGCGCTCGTCAGCAACGACGTGGCGGTCTTCCCGGACGCGATCTGCCCGTACACGCCGTGGCCGGGCAACGACACGGTCTGCCCGGGCTTGACCGACGCGGCCCGCGCGTCCAACCCGCTCAAGGCGACCGTCAACGGCCTCAAGGAGTACTTTGACGTCCAGGACATCAAGGCGGCCTTGTTCCGTGAAAAGCGGTAGGATCGATTGCCGTCTCTGTAATTGCAAAGACTCATCGCGGTCGATAGCGCGCTGGGCTTTAGCACGACGATGGCGGAGATCACGCGCTACATCCCGTGCGTCGGCGAGCTCACCAAGGACCCGCGCTGTGACGTGGCGTCGCCGCTGTGCACCTTGTGTCCGCCGGGTATCCCGACCACGTGCTGCGTCACGACAACGGGCGGCGAAGACTACAACATGGACGGCGAGTTCACGTCCCACTACGGTATGGAGGCCGAGGGTGGCCACGCCATGACGATTGTCGGCTACAACGACGAGTACACGACCAAGGACGGCTACACGGGCGGCTACATCCTCAAGAACTCGTGGTGGGACGGCGTTGACCCGCCGCTTGGCCCGGTCCACGCCCGTGGCAGCCACAGCATCCGCTATTTTTTGCAGGTACCTCGTACCCTAAACCTACCCTAGCCCTCACCACGTTTTTCTAGGAAATCTCCGAGTTTGAAGAGCGCTTCAACTGCCCCAACAGCGCCAACCCGGCCAACTGGTACCAGTGCCAAGGTCGCGTCGGTGTCATCCACGCCGACGCAGACGCGGGTGTCATTCGCGCGCCAATCAATGCGTCGCTTGTCGCTTTTGACGAGTGCTTGAGCGAGGACACGCGCCGTGACGCGGCGTCGTCCTTCTCGCCGCTGCATTTGAGCTGCACCAACGATGCGCTCTGCAAGGCGAACGCGACGTACTTTGTGCGCAACAGCACGGCGGTCGGCGACGGCTTCCAGACGTTCTGCTTCTTCGAGTATGTTCGCGACGGCAACTCGAGCGACGTGTGTTTGCCGGCGATGCTCCCGACCGACCTCGCGCACGCATTTGCGCCCATCGAAGCGGAGGCGTATGTCAACAACCCGGACGTGTGCGGCTTTTACTTTTACCCATACGCCAAGCAGCGCGCGGGCGCGGCCCTCGGCTGGGAAGTGAGCGCCGACGACCTCGACGTGACGTGGGCACCGCAGTCGTATGCGGCCAACGCGCACAAGTTTCCGACCCTCGACTACACGCTGGTACAACGTTAGTTGTTGCTACGGTGGATCTCATGCTGTATGGTGATGATAATTAGGTGCGGCAGTCGACCAAGGTGCAAAAGACGGCGCCGGTGCTGGGCCCGATTCCCGTCTACGTTGCGCGCGACGAGCTCTAAGCGGTAGT